TCCCGCCGCCGGAGGCAGCCAATACCAGTATTGGTATTCGATTCGCGTTTTCCGAACAACCTCTCATGTTGCACTCACCAACAGAGGCTGGCCTGCCCCTGTGCGAGCCGGGCGCAATGATTGGCGAAGTTTTTCCCAGCGATGATCAGGAAGACAATGCAGCTGCTGCCGCCGAGGCCCAAGATCTATCCGGAATTTACGTCCAAATGATCAAACCCAACAGTCCCGCGGACAATGGAGATGCCTCAGTCCGTGTGGGCGACCGTCTGGTTGCTGTGAATGGCCAAAACGTTATGGGTAGGAGTTTATCGGTAAGATATTGCCCTGAGGGAGCTTTTTCTTCCCCCCCACCATTCACTGCTCTTTTCCATGTATTAACTGAGCCTGCATGCCTCTCTGTTCCCTTCAGGAGGTTGCTGACCTTCTTACCTCCACCATTGCTGCTTGCCGGGCAAGGACTCACAAGCATCGGCCTACAATCAAGTTCACAGTTAATCGTTTCTTCCAGCGTAAGACGCAATCGGAACGTCTGGCTTCTGAGAACAACCGAGACGTCAGACATGAGGTGACACCGCAAAGTGAGAGGACCAAAGGTCACAGAGAGTAAGTCAATTTATGTGTAGGCGGTGATGAAATTGACTGGTCCCGCCGTTCAGACCTTGTCACAATCACAAAACAGACGCTGAGGGAGAGAATGACAAACAAAACGTTCACCTAAATCCCCCTCCTCCCAAACCCCCATGACCCTCAAACAGGTAGGAGAAGATTGAGCCAAGACAAGGAGTGTCAAAAACCTCGTGACTGTCAACCTGTCTGCCAACACATAGTCCTGGCAGACAAGTTGAAGTGGGCTCTCTTGGAGGAGATAACATTAATCCCCTAGTCTACCGCTTCGGGAATTGCCCTTTTTTCACGGGTGCCAACACTCAAGAAACGCCTGAGTGAAATTATAAAGTATGTTCCTAAATAGAAAAAAATGCTGTGTGCTGGCAAGAATGTTTTGTAAGGCAGATAATTCACAATGTATTTTCACTTTGGGTAGGAGTTTCTTTGGTAGCAACGAATGTTCTTATTTATATTTACATGCCTACTCAATTAATTTTTGTTAGGGTTAGGGTGGGATAGTGATATCGTATGTAAAAAACCCCAAGTTTCTGTTTTACGGGATGCATGGGTGTAGGCATGTAAATATAAATAATTACATTCGTTGCTACCAAGGAAACTCCTGCCTCACTTTGTAGCATCTCACTTTTCCACCAACAAAATTTGCAGCTACATAAACAATTAGTACTCAGGCGATGACCACTGCACACCTGGGATGTGATGGCTTCGGTGATTTACAATGCTTGTATCAGTTCTGTCATATTTGGTAGAAGACATTCGCAAAAAGGGTATTTTTAAAACCCTGTGTGTAAGACCTATATTATTTTCTTGAAATTAGATTTTGGCAGCTGCAAGATATTTGACGGCAAAGGGCGCAATACTTTGCACGTTTTTTGTTGAAATGTAACCCACGATTACTTCTGCTGCTATAGTTGTCAAATCACATAGTGTTAACTTTATCGTTACTTTCGTATTTTTATTCGTCTGTCTGTGGAGTGAAGCCCTTTGAGCCTAAAATGCCTAGATCACGCTACGTACTTTACAGCAAGCTTTCTGAACCCTTGAACTTTAGACCACACCAAAAACCCACGCAAGGCTCTAAAAGGTCTTCTACTTACAGTTTTTGAAACCAAGTATATCATCTCTGATGTGTGTCCTTTCGAAACAAACGTGATTTTTCTCGGACTTCGCCAAAAAGTGCATTTATTACATCAGCCGACTAATATACCCTACTCAAGTTATGGTGTTCTTAGGTGTGTTCCACAATAGTGGCTGGAAAGATTAACAACGAGTATAAACAGACCACCATATCGGAGGTCACCTCCATGTTACACAGACCAGGAAGTTCATTTCAATACTATGTCGGTCGATATTACAGGACTTTCAGTGTCCACTGTATGTTATTAGAATCTCACTTCATTTCTGTTTACTTCGTCCACCTTCCGCCTATTTATGTTGAGGAAAGGCTAGCGTGTCAGTGCTATCGGAAATCGCGCGAATAATCGGTTTTTCACGTCTTTCGGTGTTTTTCCTCAATAACTGCTTGATCGTGAAAAGCAGCAGTAGGACGTTTATCTCGGAGGCTGCACCCCTTTCCAGCCAAGTGTATTTTTTTTTTACTTTTATGCAATATTTGCTGTTGCAGGGGCTTGCATGTACACTCTGGGTGTTCAGACATCAGCTTACGTACTAAGTTGCTGATATACACAGCATCAATCAGACCGGTCTTAGTATATGCTTGCGAAACATAGCCTGTGAGAAAGACAGCCATTCTATCGCTCGAGGTCTTTGACCGTTGGTGTCTTTGGCGCCTCTTAAGAGTCTTCTGGCAGGGTCGAATTTCCAACTACGAGCTATATCGCAGGTGTTTCAAACAGCCAAGTCTAGCATCATACATCCAGCATCGCCGATTGAAATGGTTTGGCCATGTCCTTCGCAAACTCTCGGCTAACCTCTGCAGGTTGGCCATGAATCTCTCACGTAGTGCCAACTGGAGATACCGACATGGCAGTCAACTGAAGACGTGGCTGAACACCGCCAAATCGGACGTCGAACGCATGGGCCTCGTAATCCTTTATAGTTTGTGACACTAGAACAAACAGTGGGTTAACATTTGTAAGGAGCTCGCTTCCGATCTCTGCCAATTGGCCGCCGCTATCCGTGAAGCCGATTCATCCAAGAACAGGAGCTAATCGGATCAAATACAAGTACAAGTGGGTGCCTAGCTCTGTAGTCGAAAATACACTCAGTGCATATTTACAAAACTTCTATGTGCTAGGTGTGACCCTATTTGGCACCTACACCCCTTTTTCCAGCTACCCTATCACCCAACTTCAGGATCGGGAGTTTCAAAATTGGCAGCATGCGTTTCAGAGACAATGAATGACGCTGCTTAAGCAACCAGGAAGCGAGTTGCGATAGCGTCGAGCCAAAGAAAGTGCTTTGTTTCTCGCCCTACCGAGTGGCTATAAAAGGGCTGTTGGGAGCTGATAGAGTACATTCCTTCTCGTTGTAAGAGATCTGACAGGCTTATAAACCACTGTCATGGGTTAAAAGTCGTGGTTTTTTCGAGGATTGTTAGCTGACGGAACAACTCGATGCTCCTTCGGACTGCGAGGACGCCTACTTTAATGTAGATTTTATGACAGTTTGTCATCGATGGGAGCTTCGAGTAGATGAAGTCTGTTCAATGTGGACTCATGAACCATCACTTTATGGTGCGCATAGACAGACCATGCGCCCTTGTCTATTAGAAGATTGTATAAACAGCGGAATTTAATGGATCCATAATTTCGAGAATGCTCTTCAGCTGCTTCCTCTCGCTGCATAACATGAGCAATGCAGGAGAAAATACAAAATTGGATTCGTAAAGAAAAGGTCACTAAGGTCATATAGCCTGGTCACGAAAGCTAATCAGTAACGTAAGCATGCTAAAACACTGTGGAAAGTAAAAGTGAGGAAAGACGTTAAAGCGGAAAGGTGGGCGGGGAATTGTGTAAATCAGGGAGCCGTATGTTGCCGGGGCAAAGTTAGGTTAACCGCATACTCCAACCGTTTACATAGGTCGGGTTTCGACCGCCGTATACAGGGTACCTTAAGATAGCGCAAGGTACGAGTTGTTCGTGCCGGAACGAGTACTCGGAAAGAGGTTTTGGAGTCCACAGAAGGACTCGTATCAAGCAAGTGTTCAGTAATGGATGAACGAGGAGTTCTGTTTTCCTATTTTGATAGCCAACGCCCTTGTCTACTTCCAATACCTTTTACACTGTCTTGTCATTGAGGCATGATGAGCGTATACAGAGGGATTGGAGGAACGCCACTTAAGTCATATTCATTGCAATCAAAGCTATGTGCACGTTTTCGCTAATCCCTTAACTCATGCCGTCCTTATAATTTACGATGTACCAACAGCCAGCTATAAAAAGCGTTTCATGTAACACCTTTCCTTTCATATTCTGACGTCTGTGTTTCCTCAACCTCATACAAACGGGCCACGTTCACTGAACCTACTTACACTTCCTCCTTGTCGACATTAGATTGACTCAGTACGAGCCCGTATTGCAACAAATTTTCTCACGATCCTGATGATGTGTGTTTCTTAAAATGCCAAGTAGAAAGTATACTCCTGCCCTAGGAAAGGCTTGTGGCTTAAAAAGTACGCATTTATACAGTTCTTCAGTTTCGTCAAATGTCAAAACACCAAGGAAGAAGACATCTGTGACAATTTACGAGAGGGAGGGTGAACGGCCCTCACGACGAGACAGCTCCAGCAGTCGACACAACCGTAGTGCTTCCGTGGATCCACGTGGTCGGTCACGGAAGGAAACCCTTGATGACAGTCCGCTGTCGCCCAAACGCCGTTCCTCGACTTTTACACGCGAGGCCATGGGTCGCCGCAGTGTCTCCGAGAAGCGGCATGCCAACATGGAGGCTACTAGCATCAAATTCTTTAATGAAAATGTGCTTCCCCTCCGCTACACTGACGAGAATGGTAAGCCCAAGTCAAATCCCTCCTCTCCTTTGGCTTTTTTGGTCGGTTTCTACTTTTTTGGGGGGATTCGACTGTTTTCGAACCCTTAAATGTTTTGTAAATGTGGCCCATTAAATCACAACGACTGAAGTGGGCATTACTTTGAAATAAAAGACGGAATTGGAATTGCGCTCTCCCGTAATGCAAACTTCTTTAGGATTATGCTTAGTGCTACTGGTTAGTACACACGAATAGATCCCCTTCTTGGAATTTGCGCAAGACTACCTGTGTTAGGAGGGCAGGGGGTCTTACTTCCGTGTGTGAACCCATTTTGTAAATGGAAACTTTAACTTGTCTTATTCCGTTTATGATCACCTTTTTACGATCACTTTACTTGCTTACTTCGTGAGCTCCACTTGCAGTCACTGACCGATCTCATAAAACATTAACTGCTATTCGAAAATGCCTTTTTAATTAGGAAGGATTGCTTAAAGGGACGGAGGGGTTAGATATTGACTATCCTGTCGAATATTTCACACATTAAGAAGGAGATTCGATCGCTGGGGTAACGCTTATTCGCCTGACGTTTCGACATCCGTCGCGGATTCTTTATCAGAAACATGAACAGTAGCAGAACCGGGTAACACATACACAGAAAGTTGCAGTATTTATAGGATAGAGTCATTACTGCACACGTATGACAGATAACGATAATTAATGATAATTGTCCTCTTGTGTATTTATTGTTTGATTGCCGGCATGCGAGCCCTGATTTGGTGAACTTTCATCACACGTGATGGAATTGGACGTGATGATTGCTCGGCCATCTGGATCCCCGATGTTGGCGTAAGACGACGCGGTAGCCTATGCGTTCTCCAAATGGCGATTTGCCTTAATCAAATTGAGCCTCAGCACCGAATATGGAGTGGACAGGTCGTTGTACTTGTTTATGGACTGAGAGTCCGTGAACCGTGACTCAAGTAATTTTCGGCTCACACGATTGTCAATTCTTACTGGAATTTCGGCCTTACCAAATTTGGGTGTGTGGCCGGGTCTCGTCGACTGAGCCGGAACTTGAGAGTTGGCATGATTTCGCCGCACTGCTGCCGTCTGTTCGGCAATTCAGACATTTGAGAATGTCGACTTTTGAATGCACTTTCTAGGCGGCCTACGAAAACCACACCTGGCAAATAATGACTACTCAAGTAATATGCATTTTCTTTTCCTTTATGCTGCCCTTAGATCTTCAAATATATTGTTACATATAGCGTGCACAAAATATCCCTTATACTGATTTGGTAGTAGACTACGTCTTCTTTAACTGCTATACTCGAAGAAGGGGTATCTTCCGGTATTAAAAAGTGTTTTAATTCACTAATTGTTTTGGCCCGATCTGCCGTTGCATGTTAACAGTGCAGAAGTTCCACATATTTCACATTCTTAGAATTTAGCTTCGGTTGTGTAGTATGTCCAAAAGGACCACTACTAAACGGAGAGCTACGGTGTTACTTGGAGGGATATTGCACGGTCTATACAAGTCTCATAATAACACATATTTTTTAAAGACTGAGAGTTACCCTGCCCTCGCGATTTGCTATCAGATAAGCGTTAGGGGAGTTCGGCAGATTTACTGAATTCAGTTGACCCAATTGTGAAAAATTCGTGGCTCGCGGTGAGCATCGTAGCTCAATGGTAGGGCGTTGGCTGCGCATAAGCCTTCCCTGCTATGTGGGTTCGACTCCCACCGAGGCCGCGAATTTTTCACAATTGAGTCAACTGAATTAAGCAAATCTGCCAAACTCCGCTAACAATTAAGTGAGCCTAGTAGACATTCTGGTGAATTTGTATAAGTGTTTAGGAAATCCTGTCTGGGCAGTCGGCTTGCTGTTCCGTAATGGTGGATTCCATACTAGCAGTAAGTTGGGCGGGTAAAATCGATCCAATTGTGATTAAACTCACGGCCTCGTAGCTCAATGTTAGAGCGTTGGCTGCGCAAAAGCCTGCCCTGCTGTGTGGTTACGACCCCCTCAGAGGCCGCGAATATTTCACAATTGAGTAAACAGAGTATCAAATAAGTACAAAAAGGAAGAGTTTGTGCATGCCTTCTCTGCAAAATATATTTTAAGTTACAAGGACAGCAGAAAGTAATAGAAAAATTCATGCTAGTACTGTTTAGTGTGTGTAGTTTATGTAGGCGGTCGAAGGGTGATGCATTCAAAAGCGGGTATCTTGGCAGTTATCGGACATGAAATTAATTGAGGTGAAGCTGAGGTGGTTTGGACACGTTCTTCGTCGTCAACCTCAGGAGCTCAGTGTTA